AAAGGTCTGCGTTTTGAAAAAGCAAAAAAAAAAAACAAACCAAAAAAACCCCCCCCCCCCCCCCCAAAAAAAATTTAAAAACCCTCCCTCTGGGATTCTAAGTATCTTTTCCTTTTTATTGAAGGAACAAGTTCCCCTTTGATTAGAGCTTCAAACCCCAGCATCTGTGTGTGAGAAAACAAAAGTATCTTATGAGTTGGAGTCACTCCTTTTAGAATAGGGATGTCTTTGTGCAGCTCAGACAGTGAATCCTGGCCATGCACTTGCCTAATAAAGGGCTTGGAGCAACCTGTGAGTTATGGGTACTCAAAAATCCTCTGCATGGAGGTGAACTGTTTTGAGATTGAGTGATGACACCCCAGTTTGATCCATAAGTTAAGCAGTTTTCTGGCTCTGGTACCAGTACTAGTATGGTGTTAAGGCTTGTCTCTTTAGCTGGGAGATATATAGCTCTGCAACCTGGCTATTCCCCCTGATTTTCCAGGAGCATCTCCTTAACAGGAGCACGGTGTACCTTGATGGGCTTCTGGGCATGAAACCCCTGGCATATCAGGCAGCATCTTAAGGATACCAAGGCAGACCCCTTCTCAACCATCAGAGACTTCCCATTTGCCAGGAGGGACTAAGCTTGCCCTTTTCATTGCTGTACACAGCTCCTGGCCCTCCCAGCCCCAGACTACTGGTAGCATTGAGGGCAAGGCTTGTCTTGCCAAGCATGGGCCCTGATCTATGGATACCAGAGCCATGTGACTTATCCCTTCTCTCTTGTTCAGGGTGCTACTGGTTTCCCTGGTGCTGCTGGAAGAGTTGGTCCACCTGGCCCTGCTGTAAGTATCTCCTTTCCCTTTACTTTGCTGGTGGTACTGGGCAATACGGGTGCTAGGGTGGGAGGCTCTTGGACAAGTTATTGGGTCCTACTGGCAGGGGCAGAGATGGCTGGCAGGTCTACCAACCTCCTGTAACCATAACTGGGGAGGATGGGCAGTGACTACAGTGAAGAGCTGAAGGCCTGGAAGCCAAAGGAGGAAGCATATAGGCCTTCAGTGAACATAAGGGACCATGGCTATGCGCCAGAATGGCACGGTTGCTGTGCTGTAGAGATACCTTGATGGCTTAGAGGGTTTTAGAGGACTTCAGGTTTCCAGTGGGAAATGGGACCAGGGCTGTGCCTGGGGATGATATGGGCAGCTTAGCAGCAGGAGAACCTGCCTGCCCCATGGTGATGCTAGGAAGTGGAATGAAGCTGTCCCTCAAACAGGAGGTGCTATGCTGCTTGGGGAGGAGGGATGAAGGGGGAGCTGCAGCAAGAAGGTGATATGGCGGCTCTTCCAAATTGCATGACTCATGGCCTGACCTCTCCTCTCTTCTCTCTCACAGGGTAACGTCGGTCTCCCTGGCCCATCAGGCCCCAGTGGAAAAGAAGGCTCTAAAGGACCCCGTGGTGAGACTGGCCCTGCTGGACGCCCCGGTGAACCTGGACCTGCTGGCCCACCAGGACCTTCTGGCGAGAAGGGCTCTCCTGGTGGTGATGGTCCCGCTGTAAGTATCTACTCAGTTCAGCTTTGGGCTCCTAAGGCTAGTTGGGCCCAAGGCAGGTGTCTGTTCAGGGCAAATGGCTTTCAGAGCAGATGCTCCAAAGCACAAGGAGAGGTTTTGTCCCCCATCCCTCAGTGCAAAAGCTGCTAATCTGACAGCCAAATCTCAGTGCTTTGCATAAGCCACTGTCATGTATCACCTCTGTGAATTATTACCTCTTCACATATCTACAGGGAGTGAGCAAGCCCCAGGCTCAGCACTTCTTTCACCTAGAGGTGCCCTGTGACCTTGGGGCATCTCAGTAATTCTGCTAGGTGTGTGCTCTCAGCATGCAATTGCACCACACTTAACCCAAACCCAGCACTTGCCCTGTGAGCTGAAGTCCAGACTCTCTTGCTTTCAGGCTGGGTGTCCACCCCTGCCCCAAGGTGTGTGCCAGCCTGTGGGAGGATATCCCTTCCTGATCCCAGCTTCCCTGGGTATCCACTTGTAGCTGCATAGTGGCTGTTCTGACAGTGGTCAAGCACCTGTGCACAAGGTATTGTCTGTGTCTGCTCCTATCTGACCTGGTCTTTCTCTCCTTCAGGGTGCTCCTGGTACTCCAGGCCCACAGGGTATTGCTGGACAGCGTGGTGTAGTTGGTCTTCCTGGACAGAGAGGCGAGAGAGGTTTCCCTGGTCTCCCCGGCCCATCTGTGAGTATGACTTAAAATCTGTACACTGAGTATAAGAGAACCAGCATGGCTCCATTCCCTTCCCTCTGTCCCCAAAAGCCTCCAGGCATAGGTTGACTTAATGGACCAGCTGAGCCTCTCCTTCCAGGCTGATCTCCTCTGCAGGAGAAGCTGTGGGGGTGAGAGAGAGGAGCTCTGAGGGAGCTAAGGCTGGTTCATTTTTTCCCCATTGCAAGGTGCAATTGGGAGCTGTTGGGGGCAGGAATGGAAGCTCTCTCTCCCGTAGTCTGTGGGAGATGTTCTATCCCAGAGAGAAGAGAGGAAGCATATTGGGGAGCATGTGATCTTTGCTCTGGGATGCTGGAGCTGAGCTCCTGGGAGTAGCTAGACCTTTGCTCATGGCTCCGCATGGACACCCATCTCAGGTTCAGTTTAGAATGAGATCCAGTGCTGGAAGGAGTTCTCTGCACATGGGATTCACCACCTCTGCCTTCATGAGCCTGCACTTGAATCTGGACTGAACTGCTCTAACATGGACTGTCTCTCCCTCTCCTCCACAGGGCGAACCTGGCAAACAAGGTCCATCTGGCTCCTCTGGTGAACGCGGTCCTCCTGGCCCAATGGGACCACCTGGCTTGGCTGGACCTCCTGGTGAAGCTGGACGTGAGGTGAGTGGCTCCTGTATTTGTATTGTCAGGACTTTGCCATGGCTCTCTTCCCAGGCCTGGGCAAGACTGGGAAACATGAAGGCCCAGGCCCCATTGGTCTTCTTGCCTCCCCTATGTAAACTCCAGAGCCCTCATAATGGTAACTAGAAGCAACTGATTGATCAAGTGCTACCTCCCCAGCTCCATCACCCACCAGGACCACCAGAGGCAGAAACACAGACAGGCAGAGGTGGATCCTTTCCCCTGGCCTGATGCTCATGTGATGCCCTATAATTTGTTCCATCTCAGGGCAGGAAGTACTGGTAAACTCACCTTGCCCCATGACTGTTCTGGGCGGCCTAAGGCCAAATAGCCATCTGGCCTGGCTAAGCATGCACTCAATGCAGTGTCCAGGAGAGGGGGAGCACCCAGGTTTCTTGGAGAACAGGATTAGCACTCCAAGAGCAGGGTGATGAGCCCTATGGGGCACAGAGGTCAGGGGATAGTCCAGTTCCCAAGGGGAACAGAAGCCCTTCCTCTTCTATCCCTCTTTTTGTCTCTAGTTGTCACCCGTTGCGGCTGACTGAAGGACCTAGACCCCCTGTCCAAAGCTCAGGCCTGAATGTCTTCTTACCCACATCCTCATTACTTTATCCAGGCCTAACACCATTCCTTTGCTTTTCCTCAGGGTGCTCCTGGTTCTGAAGGTGCTCCTGGTCGCGATGGCGCTGCTGGTCCCAAGGTGAGCTATACCCTGAGTTGCTATGGCAGGGAGATTTTGCACTGGAGGGAGGGTGCTGATCCCAAAAGATTAACATTAATTCCGTTCTGTGCTTCCCTTACCCCTCCTTCTCTCTCAAAATAGGGTGACCGTGGTGAGACTGGCCCCTCTGGTCCTCCTGGTGCTCCCGGTGCCCCTGGAGCTCCTGGCCCTATTGGCCCTGCTGGCAAGAATGGAGATCGTGGTGAGACTGTAAGTGATACCTCCTTTCCTTCCTTCTTTCCTCAGCCCTGTAAGGTGCAGAACTAATGCCCTGGCTAGAGCTGGGAAGAGAACCCAGGGGTCTTGTCTCCTAGTCCCCTGCTCTAACCACATGGTAAGGGGCAGTCCCAAAGTTGAGAACACAACCCAGGAATCCTGGATCCCAGTCCTCTGCTCTGACCACTAGATAATGCTTATTCACAGAGCTGGGAATAGACCCCAGAATAGAACTTATGGCAATATGAAGTGATTAACCCAGTCATTAAAAAAAGCATCGAATAAAACTTCTCTTGGTATCATAGAGCCCCTTTGCTCTAACTTACTAAACCAGACTCCTTTTCAGAGTCAGACATAGAATTCAGTCCTGACTCTCAGCTCCCCAGCTCTCACTGCTGGACTACACCACTCCCCTCAGAGCTAGAGATGGAAACCAGGTGTCTTAACATCTGGTCTGCCCTCCCCCAGCCACTAGACTGCAATCCCCACTCTGATGCAATGCTTAGGGAATGGACTCAGTACTGCTTTCACCAGCCCATGGATGCTCTAACTTTTGCCCTTCTCTCTCTCTTCCCTTTCCTAGGGTCCTTCTGGTCCCGCTGGCCCTGCTGGTCCTGCTGGTGCTCGTGGTCCTGCTGTAAGTTATGGTTCAAATCCTCCCCCTCTTCCACCATAGATGTTCTAAAAGAAGTGGGTTATAAATCACCCTCGCAGGCACTCAGCAACATGATTTCTCTTCCTCCTGCAGGGTCCACAAGGTGCCCGTGGTGACAAAGGTGAAACTGGAGAACATGGTGACAGAGGCATGAAGGGTCACAGAGGATTCCCTGGTCCCCAGGGTCCCTCTGGTCCTGCTGTAAGTATGGCTGACTCCTGCTTTCATGATAAAACCAGGTCAGGCAACCAAGCAGTCTGAGTTGCTTCCCCTGCTAGGCCTGGGATATGGGAGAAGAGAGGAGAATGGAGCAAAGACTCCCTTCTTGGTTTGTTGCCCCAAGTTTGAACCAGCTAAAGGCTTTTGATAATGAGGAGATGCTTCATCATCAGAGGCAAGCCTTGGACCTTGTGTGGCTCAGCAGGACAGTTTCTGGAGCTGAGGAGAACAGGTGTTAGGCCTGCCTCAGGTCAAGGGTGTCCTTAGACTTGTGGATGCTGAAAAGGGCAAGCTTTGTGGCTGCCCTTGAACATACTGAGGCTTTAGACCTCAAAGTCATGTTTGGGCAACCCCCAGACCTTAGAACATAAGTCAACAGCTGCACCCTAGAACCTCCAAAACTTCCCTAGTGTTTGCCCTCTCTCTCATACCACAAGTGTTGGAGAAGGTTAAATATTGTGAGCCCCCATAGAATATTCCCTTTTTGTTAACACCCCTGTGCTACCTATGGGAGCATCTAGGTTGATGGCTGAACTCACATTTGCTTTCTGTTGTGCCTAGGGCTCTCCTGGTGAACAAGGTCCTTCTGGAGCTTCCGGCCCTGCTGGTCCAAGAGTAAGTATGACTCATTCTTTGTTGTAGCCAACAGTTCCCAAGTCAGTTCTATATATGCAATGTAGACTCCCAAGGCATTTGGAAAATCAGTATCTTAAAGGAAATTGAACTTAGCCTCATAACAGGCAATGCAGGATCTTGTATCGCTGACTGTGTGGAACATGGATGTACTGCTGTTGGTCAGGTATGAAGCTAGGGACAGGACTGTAGTGAGTTGTATTGACTCTGTGGATGTGCCTTTAAAACAGAAGCCAAACACTGTTTGGGTGGGGAAATCCTCTCTCAGATGGTGGCAATGATGGCAAGACAACAGAAGGATTCCAGGTGACAAGGAAACTTCAGAGCAACTGCAAGTTGCTTCTGAGGGTATCACACACCATTTAACAAGATGCATGTAGAAGGTCTGGGTGGAAAGGCAGTCTCACAGAGGCAGCAAGTCCATTGGCCCAGATCTGCTCTCTGTTGTTCTCTGTTCCCTGTTGTACCTGGATAAATCTGCAGTGACTTCACTTGCTTCAGGGGAGTAATATGTTGAATTCATCCTTATGTAGCAGAAAAACAGAGCTTGATCTGTGGAGCTTCAGCCATTGATGGCATATGAATTCCTAAGGCAGATAAGAGAAATGAGATGAGAGAGCTGGAAGGGGATGAAGACAGGTAAAAAATAGATCAAAGGGATAGATAGCCTTGATGGAAAGGACAGGGTAGCTGGAGTGTTTTCCTTTTGTTTTGTCTGTCAAGCTGAACATGCTACCACCCACTAGTCCCTCTCTCCTGACAAAGCCTCACAAATCTATTCTTGTTTCTCCCCTACAGGGTCCTCCTGGCTCTGCTGGCACCCCTGGCAAAGATGGTCTGAATGGTCTCCCTGGCCCTATTGGTCCACCTGGTCCCCGGGGTCGCACTGGTGATGTTGGTCCTGCTGTACGTATTCCCCTCTGGGGGTCTGGCTCTTGGGATACTTTGGATACCAGGTAAAATGACACCCTCTCTTCAACTTTCGTTGCTCTTCTCCTCCAATAGGGTCCCCCTGGACCTCCTGGGCCCCCAGGTCCTCCTGGTGCACCCAGCGGTGGCTTTGACTTCAGCTTCATGCCCCAGCCTCCTCAGGAGAAAGCCCACGATCCTGGCCGCTACTACAGAGCTGATGACGCCAACGTGATGCGTGACCGTGACCTGGAGGTGGACACCACCCTCAAGAGCCTGAGCCAGCAGATCGAGAACATCCGCAGCCCCGAGGGCACCAGGAAGAACCCTGCCCGCACCTGCCGTGACCTGAAGATGTGCCACAACGACTGGAAGAGTGGTAAGCGTCTCACCTGCCCGTTCAGCTTCCCTGACTCCTCAGCACAGTCACCACCTCTCAAGGCTGTATCCCACGCTGCTTTCATTCTTTACTCTCCCCTTCACCTGCTCTCTCTCCCCCTCTCTAAGCCATTCTCTCAAACTCTTCATCTTTCATCCAATATTACTGCTTCCTTCCTTTCTCATTCACTCCTCCTTCTCCTATCTCCCCAGGCGAGTACTGGATTGACCCCAACCAGGGCTGCAATCTGGATGCCATCAAGGTCTACTGTAACATGGAGACTGGAGAGACTTGCGTCCACCCAACCCAGGCCACCATCGCTCAGAAGAACTGGTACATGAGCAAGAACCCCAAGGAGAAGAAACACATCTGGTTTGGCGAGACAATGAGCGATGGCTTCCAGGTAAGCCCAGAAACTGGTGAAGGGGAAGCAGGGCCATGAAAAGCAGAGGCAGCTTGGGAGATTCAGCGGGGAACAGGACCTGGTAAATAATGTTGTCTCACCCTCTCTCTTTCCTTCTTCCTCTCTCCCTCCGCCCTCTGCAGTTCGAATATGGTGGGGAGGGCTCCAACCCAGCTGACGTTGCCATCCAACTGACCTTCCTGCGCCTGATGTCCACTGAGGCCTCCCAGAACATCACCTACCACTGCAAGAACAGCGTGGCTTACATGGACCAGGAGACTGGCAACCTGAAGAAGGCTCTGCTCCTTCAGGGCTCCAACGAGATCGAGATCAGAGCAGAAGGCAACAGCCGCTTCACCTATGGAGTCACTGAGGATGGCTGCACAGTAAGTCATAAACTCTCTGTCCCCTGGGGCTTGGGGTCAACAGCAGCTGATGAGCACAAGCTTCCCCTAGCTAAAAAGGAGCTTTTAAATAGGCTATAATGTCCGGCTGGTTGGGGTGTGGGGGAGGTTCCTGTTGAAAGAGACAGTGGAGCTCTAATTTGGTTTTCCTGACAATGTACATTTGTGGCTGAGGTTTCTATAGCTTGTTCAATCCTTCAGTAAGGATTTGAAAGTTCAGGAAAGGATCTCACTGTGTCACTGATTCTCATCCCCAGTTTCCCCAGTTCTGTTTCCCCCTACCACTGCACCTCGCTCCCTTGAACAGCTGTGAAGGGATTGCAGGCTGCACTAGACTGTCTGACAGACATGTTCCTTGTGGCAAGTGAGTCTATAGAGGCCCTAATGTTTGTCCATTCCCTCCCTCTCTCCCCGCAGACTCACACCGGTGCCTGGGGCAAGACAGTCATTGAATACAAAACAACAAAAACCTCTCGCCTGCCCGTCATTGACGTGGCTCCCATGGACGTTGGAGCACAAGATCAGGAATTCGGAATTGACATCGGACCTGTCTGCTTCTTGTAAACCGGAAATAAAACCCAACCATAAAGAAAATAAAAAACAGCCAAAAAAGGAGAAAATTTCACATGGACTTGAATTCGTGTTTTTTTCTATCCATCATCTCTAAAACTATTTTCGTTTCCGTAAAAAAAAAAAAAAAGCATTAAACCAAAAAAATAAAAATAAATGACTTTTCAAAAAAAAATAAGGAAGTGGGTCCACTTGCTTGACATTTCTTTTTTTTTAATTCCTGAAGACAGCTTGGGGTTGGTCTGGTTATTTTATTTTTTAATAATGCTATCTCGGGACCACTATTTGCACAAAAGAAAAACCCCTACAAAATGCAATTGACCCTACTAAAACACCAAAGTCACAACAACCTGCTTTGAAGTCTGTGGCAACAAGAGCAAGGCTAAACTTTTTTAACGTGGTTTAGAACCTGCATTCCCCACTCCACTCCCTTCCCTTCCAAAGCAAAGATCTCTCCGTATAACCTGGAGTTGGAGAAAATTACCAAAATTAACTTACAGCCGACCTTTCTCTGCTCTAGTATATATATATATATATTTTTATACCACTGAAAGGAAGACTCTTACAATCATGTGTAATGTACCTTTTTTTTCCTTCTTTCATTTGTTCAGGCAGCAAAAGAAATAAATGTGAGAACAGCTTCAAATGCAGTTGGTTGTAATTGTTTCCCTGAGCAAAACCGTTAGGATGGAAAACAGCCAGGATTTTTCATTCATGTGTTGACCTTTTAAAAACTAAAAACTTTTGAGCAGAATAGCTGGGAGATCATATCGGCTTAGAAAACGGCAATGTTTTGTTGGTGAACAGTGAAGGAAAAAAAATAACAACACCCGAAGCAGAGAAAATGTTATGTTAAATGTATATTATTGTTGTATGGAAGGCTACCTCACCACTGTGTTTTTCAAGTAGTTTTAGGTTCATTTGGTTTTTTACTGACACCAGGTTGTGGAGTGGGGGGCATTTGAATGCCAGGTTTAGTTCAAAGGTGCTAACTTTGTCTCTTTATTTTTTTTAGCTTGCTTTGTTAATATTTTTCAATTCTAGGTCCCTTTTTTGTTGGAGGTTAAAACTCTGCAAAAGCCAATGCAGGAAAAGGTGACAGTAGGGACCGTTTGGTGCTATAGCAATAGGACTGTTGTAGAGAAAGAAACTCCATTCTTTTGCTGCCCAGGCTCAACTTGTGAATTTCTTTAAAGGTGCTATTTTTGAAAAGTCCTACAAACGAGGACGCATAGTCACGCAAACTAGATCCAAAGAGCCTCAACAGGGAACCAAAGTGTGTGCAATCCTGTCTTTCCAGAGTTAAGCAGGTGGATTCCATTTCTGCTTTCCATCTCACAGTCATTCATCCCTCTCACTCATCTGTGTGTCCCCTCTGCTGCTCTCTCTTCTCTTCCGTCCCTCCTGCGCACACTGCTCCAAAGCCCTCTCACTCTTCTGCCGGCCTCTGCAGCTTCTCTGTCCTTCCTCATTCTCTTCTCTTCCCATTCTTCCAACTCTCTCTGTGGGTTTCAAAGCAACCCCCGTGCAAAACCATTCCTAGCAAGAGGCAGATGTTCCAGGGAGTGCGAACGACCAAGGATTCTGTACCTATTTTGTATATGTATAATAATTTGAGATGTTTTTAATTATTTTGACTGCTGAAATAAAGCATGTGAAATGATCCAAACAAACCTGTGGTGCTCCAGACTCTTCTCTCGTGCATGGCATATCCGCTGACAGGCTCCTGGGAGGGTCCAGCTGCTGGCTTGGGGGGGTAGCACTCCGTAGGCAGGGCCAGCAGGGATGGGGGACAGGAGCTTTCTTCCTCTAATCCACTTTCCGCTCTTC